CGTAAAGTGTTTCAAAGACAGCTTTAAACCTTTATCTAACTATCAAAGCCAATATCAGAACAATACTTTCAATTTTCTTTTACATTATTTGTAGTTTGCCTCAATTTTTGTTGTTTTTCTTCTTGTTTCCCTGTCTTTGTTAATCTACCTGGGATTGAATACCAGTCCTCAACCCCCATTTCAATAAGGACACTTTCTTTCAAAGAAGAAATGTTTTCCTCTTTGGGGGTCTACACTGTAGCTGTAATTTTCCAATTACAAATGTAACCCAAAAAAGGAAGCCTGTCCCTCTCTTCCATTCCTAACTCCAGCTTTATTCCCCAGGAAACCATTATTAAAAGCTGGGTACCTATCCTTCAGAATGTTTTCAATATATCCCAAACTACATATAAACATGTACCAGAGGTTTTGGTTTTGTTGTTTTTAATTTAAAAAAAAAGGATTGTACTGTATGTGTTGTTCTGTTTCTTGGTTTTGTTGTTGCTGTTGTTTTTAACCTAAAAAATCATGAGCATCTTTCTATGTCAGTAAATCTTATGGACTGAATTGTGTCCCCAAAATTTCATACATTGAAGTTCTAGGTCCTAGCACCTAAGAATGTGACTGTATTTGGAGATAGGCTTTTAAAGAGATAATTAAGTTTAAATAAGGTCATTAGTGTGGCCCCTACTTCAGTATGACTGGTGTCCTTGTAAGAAGAGGAAATTTGGACACAGATGGTACAGAGGGAAGACCATGTGAAGGCACAGGAGAAGATGGCCTTTTTCAAGCCAAGGAGAGAGGGCTCAGAAGAAACCAACCCTGCCGACACCCTGTCTCAGATTTCTTGCCTCCAGAACTGTGAGAAAATAAAGCCCTGTTGTTTGAGCCTTCCACCCCGTCTGTTTCTTAAGGCAGCCCTAGCAAACTAATACAGTACATATGTATCTACTTTGTTTTTTTAACAGTAATATGGTATTATTTTATCATAAATAGTATGTAATATTTGTCAAAATATAATTAACCATTTCCCTATTGTCTCAAATTTGTTTATATTATGAATAATGCTATAGTAAACATCCTTATACATATACCCTCCCTACTTGTGTCACCAGTTATTAATACTTTCTTAATGATGGGATTACTATGTCCAAGGGTATGTATACTTAAAAGTGAAATTTATATATTCCACATCATCCCCTAAGAAGGTTATACTAATTTACATCCCAACCAACCATATGTACAGGATATCTGTTTCCTTGAACTCTCACAAATGCTAGATATTAAAAATGTTTTTTATACTTATTATGAAAATTATAAATGTGCAGAGAAGTAGAGAGGATGGTGTAATAAACACCATATACCTATCACCTAGATTTAATAATTATCTTAGCATTTTGTCATATGTTTCACTTTTTTTAAATTGAAGTCTTTTAAAGTAAATATAGATATGGTGACATTTCACTCCTAAATATTTTTCCTCCAGTTTTGTTGAGATATAGTTGACTAACAGCACCGTAAATTTAAGGTGTACAGCATAATGATTTGATTTACATACATCATAAAGTGATTATCACAATAAATTTAGTGAACATCCACCATCTCATACAGATACAAACTTAGAAAAAAATTTTTTTTTCTTGTGATGAGAACTCTTAGGATTTACTCTTAACTTTCATATATAACTTACAGCAATGTTAATTATATTTCTTAAGTTGTACATTACATCCCTAGTACGTACTTACCTTACAACTGAAAGTTTGCACATTTTGACTGCCTGTGTCCAACTCCCCCTACCCCTACCTCACTCCTGAATATTTTGATATGCAAATTTAAATAAGAACACTTCCCTATAGAACTACAATAACATCAACACACCCAAGTTTTCCACTTGTCCCCAAAATGACTTTTTGCGGCGAGTTTATTCATATTAGAATCCAACCAAGAACCATGATTGCATTTGGTTGTTGGGTCTCTAGAACAGATACTCCTTTTCCTGTTCCTCCTTATCTCCCTCTCACATCCTCCAACTTTTTTATTTTTCCTATGACACTGACTTGGAAAGACCAGGATAGTTGTCCTCTAGAACGTCCCAACTTCTGGATTTTTCTGACTGTTATTTAGCAATAATCCCCATATTTTCTATTATTGGAAGTTGGATCCAAAGGCTTAATTAGATTCAGGCTAAACATTGCATCATATAATGATGTAACCCAGGAATCACAGAACTAAAGCTCTGGTTATTTCATTATTGGTGATATTAAGATTGACTGCTGGGTTTATGTGGTGACAGTCATCTTGGAACTAGCTCGTGATCTATGAGGTGATAACTTTCGCACTAGGTGAATAATTAGCTCTCTATCAACCTTTACCTAATGCTTTCAGCATTTGCTGATAATTTGTGTCTTAATTACGTCCTTAGAGATTGCAAGTTGTGATTTTCCAATTCTGTCTACATTTACAGGTGGCATTTTCCTGCAAAGAAAGGCTCTTCCTCATCGACTAGGACTATTACGTTACTCTGTGATTCAATTCCTATTGCAAAGAAGAAATACTCCTGTCCCTCTCAGAGTAAGAATCTGGTGTGATGGTCATCTGTGAAGAGGCTTTCATTTGCTTGCTTGCTTGTTTTACTCCTTTTACTTTTTTTTTTTTTTGCTTATC